CCCTTCAAACTCTCCCAGAAGCCTGTCCTTGCTTTCTTTCAAATTCATGGTCTGTTTTTTGATACATTGTTGTTACATACATACGTATGTATATATGTGCGCATGTGCACATATAAATCCTTAAATTCACAAACACAACTTGCTCAGTCTGTATAATGTTACTTATATGTGTATGTTTTCAGGGATGACCATTTGGTATTAGATAATCAATTGGTGTGCTCTTTCCTGAAGACGACTATTTCTCTCCCTCTCAGTGAAAAGACTCTAGGTAGCTCCAGCATGACAAACATTGTGTGGCAAGCCGGGCCCTTCCCCCATCCATTAGATGACATTCCTAAAGCTAGCCACCAAGGTCTATTTCCTTATTCGGCCACTTCCTCCTCCTGAGGCTGACTACCAAGGTCCTATGGAAGTATTGAAGTCCAGCAATCAAAAGCCCCCTTAGGCTGCCAGAATTAACATATCCAATTAAAATTAAACACATTGATCTGGAGAGATGGCTCAGGGGTTAAAAGCTGTTCTTCCTGAGGTCCTGAGTTCAATTCCCAGCAACCACGTGGTGGCTCACAACCATCTGTAATAAGATCTGGTGCTCTCTTCTGGCATGCAGGTGTACACTGTATACGTAATAAATCTTTAAAAAAAATAAATAAACACCTCATCCTAACATAGAGTTCCTCCTTTTACCTTTATAAGCCACCATTTTCCTATGAGCCACATCTGTCTCCTCTTCAGCCAGAGGTGGTCCTTTGTCTCAAATACCCTGCCCCCATTCCCTTGTTCCCTTCCCCTTTTCCTTAGTCCTCTATCTCCTGTCTTTGTCTCTTACTCCCTGCCCTCTGTCCCTCTGGGGCAAATAAATCTCCTTTGTGCTGAGACTTGGTCTTGGGGTGTCCTGAGCGGATACCGTTCACTCCACTCAGCATTCCTTAGTTGTCTGTCCGTGTGTAGGGCTGAGGTCCCAGGAGCTTTCTTGCATCAGTGTTAGCACGACTGCTATTGTCCTTGTTCAGTTCATGTTTAGGCAGTCATGTTGGTGAGATTTTATGGGTGTGGCTTCTGACATTCCTTCAAGACACAATATTACAGTAAACTCCTTGTTCTCTGGCTCTTACAATCTTTCCGCCCCTTCTTCCACAATGATCTGAGTCTTAAGCTCAAAAAGCTGTGTTGTAGGCATATCAGTTGGGACTGTGCTCCACACATACATATTTATAGCTGTATCTTGATGACTTATATACATTTGTGTATACATTATAGATATGTACATTATATAGTACACTGTGGTAGTGATGTACTTTAAGAAAAATGAAGCATGTTAATGAGTCAGTGATGGCGGGGACATGTTTCTTTAAATAAGTCAAAAAGGGTCTCAGGTGACATGAACAGACCTCCTGTATGAAGTAGGAATACCAATGTATTCCAGGTAGAGGGAACTGTAGTGTAAAGGCTCAGGGTAGAAATGTTCTGTGTGCTGAGGGACAGCAGGAAAGTCAAGATGACTTACTTGGAAGCAGAGACAGAGAGGATGCTGGGTGGCAAGACTCAAGAAATAAGCAGGAGAAATAAGGGCTACTGTGTGGCCTGCTCTGCTGACTTAGAAGGAAATTGTGTGGACACTGACCACGATGGGTCTCAATGACATAGGAGCTCCTTTGGAACCTCAGGCATGGATATGATAATAGGAAGACCTCATGTAAGGCTTCAAGTTGGAAGGCCAGAAGGGAGACCTGGGCCGTTGAGATTGCAGGCTAAGCAGGGTCTAGAGTGGGATTCTGGCTAAGCAGTAGGGTGGACAGGGCAGTCACCCAGGCTTTGTCTCCTCCATGCCCCCCAGATGTTCCAGAGCCTCATTTGTCTCCCGCTGGCCCAGCCTGCCAGACCAATGTGCCTATATAGTCTCCCACTTTCTTCCTCTGGAACAGAAGCTCCTGAGCAGCAGTGTGTAGGCTGGCAGCAAATATTTATCAACCACTAAGCCAGAGGCTGAAGCTGAAGAGCAGAGAGAATCGGGTAGAGGCAGGATTAGTGAGCTTCTGGGTAACTCCTTCCACTAACAGGAGCATGACTTAGGTGGGTGTGACAGTGGTGTCAACTGGACAGAATCTAGAATCACCTAGAAGATGAGCCTCTGGGAATATCTGTGAGGGACTATTTTATGTTGGTAGGTGTAGGAAGACCCATCTTAATTGTGGGTGAGGCCATTCTCTGTGCAGAAGATCCCAGACTACGTGGAGAAACAGAGCTGAGTACCAGCATGTATGCATTCACTGTCTCTGCTCCTGACTGTGGATGTGATGTGATCATCTGCTTCAATCTCTGGCCACCCTGATGTTCTCACTCGGTGAACTTCAGAGGAAAGGTGTGTGAGCAGGCTTTAAGTTTTGGGTAAAGAATATGTAGACAGCAAAATGCTGTAATTGTCAGAGAGAAGAGCCATTAACAGAAACCTGTGCTGGAACCATAGTAAAGGTGTCCCCATCCAAACCAAGAGGCTGGCAGTATTGTCAACTGGTTTTGAAGGCATGAAAAACACAAGACTGAAGGAGTCACTGAGAGTAGCTGAGGCCAGGTAATCTCTGACAGGGTCAGAAGCCCTGTAAAGAGGTCCTGAGAGGCCATTTGTGTGCAATTATGAAAGTGAAGCAATGAAGACCCCCAGGATACTGGAGATGGATTGTGGGATGTGAGCCAAGGCAAGTTGTAAAAATGAATTGGGACCAATTGGAGAGGCCACAGAGCTGAAGGGGTGTGGCTACCTGTATCTTTGGAGATCAGCCAATTTTATCACAGCCTTGGACACTAGTAGAGAGCTTCAGAGTTTGGTATTTGCTGGACTGAGTTTAGGTCTCGCTTTCACATGACCATTTGCTGTTATGCCCAGATTCTTCCCTTATGGGAGAAAAAATATTTATTCTATGTCATTCTAAGTTGGTCACTTAAGACTTTCGACTTTTAAAGCACTGAAATTGTTAAAAGACTATGTGTGTGTGTGGGTGTTATGAGGTGGCTTAGCAGGTCTGTACATGTGTGCACCCCCACATGCGTACACACACACACACACACACACACACACAATCACAGAAGATCTTTAAAGACTATGGAGACTTTTCAAGTTGGATGAATGCATTTTACAGTTTAGTGTTGTGTCCAGTTGACAAGGGGTAGAGTTGGGGTCAGTGTAGACTTACTTGCATCCCTGTGAGGGATTTTCTTGGTTAACAGATGTGGAAAGACTCTGTCTTTGCATACATATATCCACTTTTCCTTTTTCCCTTTGTAGATGCCCTCAGCTGCTTGAAGCTCTTGCATCTTGACTTTCAACCTTTCAAGTTTAGACTAAGTCAGAATAGCCTTTCCTCCTTCAGTTGTGCCCTACCCCATCCCCTAAGTAGCCCTGGCTAGCCTGGAACTTGTTATGCATATCAGGCTGGATCAAACCCCGAGATCCCCCTGCCTGTCTCCCTGGTGCTGCGGTGAAAGGTGTGCACCCCCACAACCTGCTAAGTTGCTTCTGTTTGAGTTATTTAACAAAGTGCCAAACAAGTAACTAGGACATGGGGTAGTTTAGATCTCTCCACCAAAGGTCTAAACGACACACCTCTAGTCCTCGGAGCACAGTGCTTCCCTACTTTGTTCCAGGTGGCTAATGCTTCATGTTAGCCATGCCCACACATGTGCCACAACCTCCTCTTTTCTTTTTAAATACTGCCCCAACTCCATTGTCAAGGATACAAGATTGGGAAAGAATGCTCAGGGAAGAGAAAGGGCATCATTATGTTTTTCCTGTAAAAAAGGCTTTCTGTCCTTGACTACTTTGTGGGTGAGAAAGTGAAGTCAGAGAGAGGTGGTCGGAGGTTAACGGGCTAGTAACCAGCAGGCTCATCTGTAGCCCTTTAATCCTGCCAGGTGAGTCAGAATCAAAAGAAACCCCTGGCTATTCTCCCGCCCTTCCACTGTACAATGGAGTAGGCATCTACATTTCACACCTACTCAACTAACTACAGGGGGCTATGGCAAAATGCAATTATTGGAAGTTTACAAATAATATATAGCCTCTTGGAAAGTTAGACAAAAGCCAGGTCTAGTGGTGCATGCCTCTTAAAAAAAAAATCTTAACACTCATATACATAAAATAAAAAGAAATCTTAGGACACACACACAGAAATACAAACATAACCCACTAAACTTGTGGGTTACCTTCAAGTGCCAACTCACTCCCAGGCTCAAGGAGAGAAGACTCCTTTGCTTTGTCCCTGTATCCAGGGTCTGGAACGGAGTTTACACCATCCAAGTTTGTATCAGAAGTCTTTTCCCCTAACACGTATCCCAGGGTCCTGATTTTTTCCTTTTGTGTTTGTTGTTTCTTCCGGGACTCACAGATCTCCTTGGGAAAGACCCACAATGGTAGACTGTATGTCAAACATGAATCTTTATTAGACAGGTGAGCTTCAACAGTGCTGCACAGTGCCAGCTCAGCTTTCCAGACTACTAGAATCCCAAAGCTGACTCTTTTTTTTTTTTTTTTTTTGGTTTTTCGAGACAGGGTTTCTCTGTGTAGCTTTGCGCCTTTTCCTGGAACTCACTTGGTAGCCCAGGCTGGCCTCGAACTCACAGAGATCCGCCTGGCTCTGCCTCCCGAGTGCTGGGATTAAAGGCGTGCGCCACCACTGCCCGGCCCAAAGCTGACTCTTAAGGGAAAGGAACTACAGTGTTGAGGACGAACGCCATGCTGGCCCAGTGTCGAGCTCTTGTTTTGTCTTTGCTTGCTGAAGGTAGCCATCAGTACTTCCATGTGACGTGGAAAGACAGAGGTGCATCAAAGCTCTTATTTGTCCCAGCTGGCAAGCTTTTCATTATTACTTTAATTGGTCTGTCGAGGGCAGGTCAGCAAGTCTAGCTTGCCCAAGGTGCCACAGGGCTCTAACCCTAACCCCAATAACAATGCTGTGGCCTTTCCACTCATCCAAACCAGTAGCAACAAAATCACAAAACACTCATTTGCAAATAGCATATGGCTTTTAGACCCCATCAAATAACTTTATTCACACAAACGTCCCTTAATTTACAAAGCTCAGTCATTCATACACAATAGGGGGATCCACAGTGTTCAAAGAACTTAAATATAATGTATCATACCAACCCAAGTAAGCCAAGTACAAAAAATATTCATATAAAGTTGTTCACACATAGGTCCTATATTACCAGCTTCTGTGCAAAAAAAAAAAAAAAAAAAAAAAAAAGGAAAATTAGATTAACTAGTATTGAAACTAACCTTGTGCCTGGCTTTAAATCTCCCTCAAAACCAAGTCTGACCCACATGAGCATTAAGAATAACTGAAATATCCTCTGGTTTTGATGGTAAGTAGCCTTTGGGATGTAATTTTTTTTTAAAAAATACCCCCTAAGTAGGTTTCCTTCTTCCTATGGTCTCACTTGGATTAAAAAAAAAAAAAGGCTCACTCCTGGTACTCCCCTCAATCCTAGGGGCCCCCAGGCAAGCAATGGCAGTAGATGCGTCCCTCAGAGATGGCTGTGGATGCTGACATCAGCCAATGCTCTAGAATACCTACTGGGCTCCCCTCCCAGAGCATGTTTCCAGACAAGGCTCCTTTCCCTCAAAGTCAACCCTATGCTGTCCTGAGGGCTGTATGACAAACTCAGAATCAGCAAAGGCAGAGGCATCAGCTTCCAGTCTGCTGGCCTGGAGAGCTGAATTACCAAGCTTAGCCAATTCTGAGGTAGACTCCCAGCAGCTGTCTGGCGCTGCCAGATGGGGAGAAAGAACCCAGTCAAGGGTAGGGATAACCCAAAGACCCACCTGGAGTTGAGCCACTAGTGCCTCCAGATGTGGAAGGCGGGGCAAATGATCAAGAGACGAGGTGGGAAGAGCTCACATGAGGTGAGCAGGGTTGAGGGGGGCAACGGAATAAGGCAGGGCAGTAACGTTCCCTCGTTGGAGGATAGCAGTTAGACTCTTGCTCTTCCCAAGTTTGCAAACGAAACCTAAAGGTTAAAACCCACATACAATCCATCCTTTATGCTGTCTTCTAACACAGTAAACAGCTAATAGCATAAAGATTCCCACAATGTTCTTTTCCTGTTCTTGGAAATAGTCACACAAAAACAACATAACCTTATTGCTGCGAACACTGGTTTTCTAAAATAGTGATATGTTAGAGCTGAAAATCTTGGAGGAAGGAATGAGGGGGGCGGGACTGTTGGGGCAAGAAGGCTGTGAGGAGGACAGGAGTGGTCTTAGCACCACGGGGTTACGAAGCCAGTGAGTCAGGGGCCTCGGGCTCACTCCAGGCATCTATCCACCTTCTCTGCCACTGGAGTCACCGCTGGCAGTGCCACAGGGAGGCCGGGCCCTATCCAGACTCAGATCTTCACCTAGAGTGGGCGCACTTTTCCTCCAGCTGTAAACAGGGTATTTCTTTAAGTAAACATTAAAACATCCCTCAGGCAGCCAAAGGGCAAACCCTACAAGGTGGGACTAGAGTTCCTACTCCCCGCCCCAATGCCCTAGAGCGAGGGAGGCTAAAGCCCGACCCTTAGTCTCCAATGACCAGAAGGGGTTAGCTGGAGCCAGTTCCCATGGTGCAGTCGGTGTCTTCCTGGCTAGAGGTATGAACAGGGAGGGACAAAGGCAGTGTGCATGTGTGGGCAGCAGCATTTGGTCCTGGTCTAGAGCTGCTGGAAGGGCCACAGAGGCAAGAGGGAGGTGTGTCTGGCTACAGCCCACGGGAGGTGGGTGGGGGCTCAGAGGTTTCCGTCCCCTGTGGCTATATACAGGTGGAGAGTATGAGTACAGTGACAAATGGACACAGAAGACAGCCACCTGCTTCTGGCAGAGTCTGGACAGAGGAGGACAATGGAATAAGGCACTATGATCTGTCCTTCACTCACAGGGAGCTGAGCCTGAGCGCAGAGAACTCAGGCCAGGACAGTCTCCCAACAGGCAACCCTCACACCCAAGAAAAGGGACAAACGTTAGAAGTTCTGCAACTTCTAGAATGTGGACAGATCTAACAAACCTGGAGGCACCTGAGATGATGCCCCACAGAGCTACTGGCAGGCCTGCAACCCATATAGAGGCAGAAGGGGAGGAACAGAGGACAAGGATGCTGATCCCTAAGAGAGACGGAGAGCCAGGCTTTGGGAAGACTATAGAGCCCACCGGGGGCTGCCTCACTGGCCACAGCACAGCAAGCGTGTCACCGGGCCAGCTTCCATCTGGCTGGTAGGTGATAGCATAGACTGCAAGGGGGGGGGGGACGACAAAACAAAACAAAACAAAAAACAACAACAAACCCAGGAACAGGCACTTGGGGCTCAAGACCTGGCTCTCATCTGAGCCAGAGATAGAGAGAGGTGCACTCATCAGGCCAGAGCCAGCTGGGAGCATGGAAGATAAGGTGCAGGGAAGCAGGCTACCCCTCCCCGGGCTACCCACCCACAACCAATGGGGGCTGCTTTGACACCAAGAAAAGTCCGGTGGGAAAGCACCGTAACCCAGGTCTTGATTGTAGAGAGCCAAGAGACAGGGACGAGAAAGGGCAAGGTCGGTAGACTAGTGATTTGCTAGGAACCCAGAGCAGGACTACAGCAGGAAGTGTGGGGTCCTGAGCTCAGAGACTGCTTTTCCCATCTGCTCAGGCACAGAGACAGCAGCGCCCAGGGGAAGGGAGGGACGTGGAACAGAAATGGAATGTACTTTGCAATTAGGGGCGGCTGCTGCTCCCACCCTCCCAGGTGCTTCTCTGATTAGGCTCAAGAGGCTGCTTAAAAAGTCACTCAAGGAGACAAGATGCTATCACAGTACAGCGCAAGGTAAGGGCCTACATTACCACCTGCAGCCATGTACCCACAGGAACAGCAGCTGACCTCTGGCCAAGAAGAGGAAGAAACTTTGGTGCTGAGTTGCCTGAGAGAAGGCTGGGAAATGCAAGTGGACAGAGCTGATCAGGGTTCAGTGTTGTGATGGCCTTCCCACACTACAGGACCAAGGGACAGCTGCTGGAAGAAAAGCTCTCCTTGGCCTCTCACTTCCCTACCTGTCCTATGCTAGTTTAGGAAGATAAACAAACAGATAGATACCTTCCTTCCTTGTCCAGAGACCCCATCTCATGTGACCAGAACAGGATGAACAATCTGGAAAAGTTTTGGAGCAACCGAAGGTGCGTCCCAGTCGAGGGATGCGCCAGAGAGAATGACAGGGTCCATGAAGCAGCTGGAGGGAAGGTATCGTCCCTTAGGAGGCTGTGAGAACACTGCAGGGAGTTAAGAGTGAAAGGCTATGCAGACAGACAGCAGAGTCACGGGGATCTAGGTTGGGATGCTTTAAGACGGCTAGCTGCTCTACGAGCCCTCTAGTAGCCATGTGGGCATCCCTGTCTGCCCCATACCTCCCTATTCAAGGCAGGTCCTTTCTCTTCTCATCAGACAACAGTTACAAAGAGGGTGATCACCTAACACGAAGTCCCTGGGGGTAAGAGAGATGGCGCTTGACAGTATCACCCGGTGGTGAGTGACACCATGGATCCTGATACACAGGGCACACCTTTCACTGTGAGGAAATGATGGCAGCAGCCAGTTGAGGGTACTCTGCAATGGTCAAAACTGGGGCTAGGTAGTCTCTATGACAGGCTGGACTTGCAGCACCCTGGGAAGATAATCCAGGAGGCAAAATCCAGGGAAAAAGGTATTGGCCTCAGAGCAGTGGCCAGAGGCCAAGGAAGACCAAGTGACAAGGGTCAGCACAACAGTCCTAATAGAAGATAGGCTTGTGCAAGTGGGGTGGGTGTGGGGGGTCTTTATCCCCAAGTGATGGGATGATCACTCTCAGTCTCCTTCCTCAGGGACTCCGCTTGGAAAGGGCAGAAGGAAGCAATTCCAACTACAGTGAGTCCTGGTATGGCCTGAGGCTCCCAAGAACTTAAAAGAGAACCAAACCCATGGTTTAGGTCTTCTTTAGAGTCCTTCTGGCCAAACCCTGGTCTTCCTCTTCTGAGAGCTTCTTCATCTCTGATCCTGACTGAGGCCTGAGGGCTGGCCAGGACCAGCCCATCCAAGGAGTACAAGAGCTCCCACGTCTGGTAGGGAGGGAACTCGGAGGCTGCTTCCTTGTATCTTCGTATCCCTTTCCAGGAGAAACCGAAACTCGGGGCAGATAGAACTTCTTTGGGAAATGGGATGCTAGAGCAAAACTGAAAGATGTGTAAGAAAGAAAACAGAACATGAAAGATAAAACTAAAATTGTTTCCTAACTTAAGAAATTAACGGATTAACGGTGAATATATGCATAAGCTTTGCCCACATTCAATGTTCTTAAAAACAAAACAAAAACTCAAACAATACAAAGGTGCCTGTCCAGAGTGTAGCCTTCTGCTCTTCAGAAGTCTTGATGGTTTAATGTTTAAAATAATAATTATTATTATAACAAAGGAAAAAGAAAAGGGTAGCGTGGGAAACCCAAGCAAAAGCTTCACATTGTGGGAGGTCCAGCTGTCAGGAGATCGCCACCACCTGTACCCTCTGCCATCCTGTCCGAGACATGATGAGACTGTGGGTCCCGAAGGATCGACCTGGAAGACAGAAGGTAGGCAAAAGTGGACATTGGATCAGTGGGTGAGGGTACAGGGCCAGCACCCAAACCCAACTGACCCTGAAGCTGTGTGAGCTGGGTTTTCTAAGAACTCGATGTGGAGCAAGCTGAGCCACCCACTACCTTGCCGTCTGTAAAGACACTCTCATTTCTCGGTAAGGAAACTGATGTGGTCAAGGTCGTAATGACTAAGGGTGGACCCTGGAAGAGGGAACTTAGGCATGCTGGCTCCATCAGCAATCTGATGACAAATCGTCTCTCTACCTTCTTCCCACTCCAGCATCCCTGTACTCTACAGGACCTATTCCAGACAGAAGTTCCCAACAGACCCTGATGGTCTTGGTTCTATTTAGCCTTTCTTCTCCACTTTCACCCACAACTACTGGCATAAGCCTCACAGCAACCCTTGTAAGATTTCACTGTCCTTTACAAATGGGAAAATGGTACTCAGCATCTGAGAACCTACACTAAGTTAGCCAGCAAGTTTTAAAGAGACCACATTTACCCTCTCCTCCTAGGTCACTTGGACTCAGAAAGATCTCCCAGAAGCAAGTGATAGGACCCATTCTGCCCACAACATCATCTACTGGGGCTATGACTGAGTGTTCTGGAGACAAAACAGTCTTAGTAAACAGGCTCTCAGCTGGCTGTGTGCAAATTCAAGCCCTTTGTTCTTTGGTCTCATAATCTACACCTATGTCATAAACTGTTTTTGAAGATTACATAAATTCAGTTATGCATGGCTTAATGATATATGAAATGTAGAGCCGCTTGAACATGACAGTATTTATGGGACCACCATTGTATATTGTCTGCTGTTGCCTGAAACATCATTTTGTGTCACACTGTATTACTTAGAAGAATGTCTGGTCCTGTGAGCACTGGCTGCTATTTGGGAACTTCTTTGGTGCCAGGCCTCAGGAATAAGACAAGAAGCTGCCCTTCAAGGAAACCTAGCACATAAAAGCCAATAGAGATTAGTCTTGGGTCAGCTCCATATTCTGAGCCACTTAATCACATAGCTAAGTATAGCTTTGTCTTAGGCAAGGCAGGTCATCTGGGCAGCGATGTTCTAAAGTTTTCAAGGTGCACAGTTTCACCCTATGACTGGCCCAAACAAGCCCTTCCCTGTATTTGTACAACCCTTCACGGCTTCCTGGCTCCATGGACACACCGAGCTCGTTGTCTGCAGCTTGACAAGTCCGCCCTGGTTCCAGCCCAGTGTGTACCCTCTTCACTGGAGCTGCGGTCAGTACAGCCAGACGACACTGGCCCCATAGACTCAGGTCTTAAGGTGGCCAAGCTCATTCACAAAAGTGACACCAGGGTGGGCCTGTCTGCCTCTGTCTCTTCCTGTAAAGTCTTCCGTCTCTTTTGGGCTCTGAGTAGAAGGAGTATAAAGTATAGGGCCTACAGAAGCTTCGGACATATGCAATGTGCCCATTTCCTTTGCCTGTGTCTCCAGCTAGACTCTGAATGCACCTTCAGCCATTCAGCCATCACAAGCAATTGCAGGCACCATGGGAAAGGAGGCATCTTCCACACTGCCGGAGGATGGGAAGCAGCTGGGAAAGATGCTTTCAGAACTTCAGGTCTGCTGAGAGCTAGAGCCTGATAGCTCATGTCTAGAAACCTAGCTATCACCTCTAACTCTAAACAGGAGAAAGAATTCACAAATAAAGATGTTCAATTATGGGAAATTACTTCCAATGTCCCAAACTAGAGACTAAAAAAATGTTCTAGTGAAGAATGAGAGATGGGTGGCATTTGTGCATCAGTGGGAAGCCTGTTAATGAGTCGAGTGGAATACATAAGTTACAAAGCTGTGTGGTAGAAAGTAGGAATATGGTTTGTCTCTACAGCTCAGGATGGAGGTTAAAGTCCTTACAAGGTAACAGGTGAAAACTTGGGGTGTTTGAATGGATGAGGCCTTTGGGAGGTAATTAGGATTACATAAGTCATTTGGGTGGGATCCCATGATTAAGCTCTGATGGTCTTTTAAGGGGGAGATCCTAGGGGCTGGAGAGATGACTCAGTAGTTAAGAACATTGGTTGCTCTTCCAGAGGACCTGGGTTTGAGTACCAGTACACACAAGCAACTATAATTTCAGTTTCATAGGATCCTATGCTCTTTTCTGACCGCCCTGGAAACTAGGCATACACATGATACATATACATACATGCAGAAAAAGCAGTCATATACATGAAATAAAATGAGTAAATCTAAAAAAAAAAAAAGCAAAACAAAAAAGAGGGAAAGCCTACACACATACTGAAATACACAGAGACACAGACAGACAGACAGACAGACAGACAGACAGACAGACACACACACACACACACACACACACACACACACACACACACACAGACTTTTGGATACATGATGCCCTGTGTTGCCTCAAAAGACAGCCAGCAAGAAGGGACCAAAACCAAGAATCACCTTTTATCCTTACGTTTAACTATTATTAAAAAAACAAACAAAACTTATACATAAAAACCCCCCAACAACTCAGGATACTGTGAAGGATATTGGTTGCTTTCTACCAGCTGGTGGTACAGCCCTACTGCTGCAAACAACACTTACATATCTCCTTGAACACGGGGAAGCCAACCTGGTACCTAAGCAGAGCCTTCACCCCTACTGACAAGTGTTCATGATACTGGAAGGTACTCTGCATGCTCCCGGAGGAGAAAGGGAACCGCAAACCCAGCTACAAACCCTGTGATCTACCATGGTAACCTGCCTGCAACTGGAACAAACACTGTGGGAATAACCAACCACTATCTGAATGGATTAAAGACCCACTCCATTAGATGGAACCCATGCCTGACACTGCTTGGGTGGCCAAGAACCGGAGACTGGATAAGCAGGTCATAGGCGTAGAGGAAAACCAAATACCAAATTTTTCTGCTAAAGAAACACAGCAATAAAATGACTCCTAACAACTTTCTGCTATGCCTATAGATTGGTGTCTTGCTCAGCCATCAGAGAAGCTTTCACTTACAGTAGATGGGAAAGGGACCTACAATTGGGCCGTGCACAGACTATGAGATCTCATTCTTTGTGGACGAGGAGGTGGAAAGACTTGAAGAGCCAGCGGATATGGATGACACCAAGGAAACAAGGCCTTCCAGACACAACAGAACTGATGCGCCTATGAACTCACAGAGACTGTGTTAGCATGCACAAGTCCAAGCTAGACAGGGCCCAGCACTGAGCGGGGGAACCAGACAGAGCTTCCATCCCTAACCAAGAAGCTATCTTCAATTGGCAAAGGCTTGCCAAAGGAAACCTAGTTTTCTCAATGGAGTTCGAGTATATATACTATACCTAGGGGCACCCCCGCCTCCCATGCCCAGCAGTAGATGGCCAACACAAACTCAATGGTATTTTTGAAGTTTTTTATTTTTTTTTATTTTTACCTTACTGGTCTTTTGCACATTATCGTTTCCGGTTTTGTGTTTATGTGTTTTGTGTGTTGGGTGTCTCTCTCTGTATGTATGAGTTTCTCCTGGTTTTTTTGTTTGTTTTGGATTAAATTCTGGTTTGTTTTTTTTTAATTTGTTTCCTAAAGAGAGAGAGAAAGAAAAAATGAGTGGAGTTCAGTGGGTGAAGAGGTGGGGAGGATCTGGGAGAAGCTGGGAAAGGGGGAACCATGATCAGAATATATTAAATGGGAAAAAAATGTTTTCAATTCAAAAGTCAAAAACAAACAAAACCAGCATGCACCAAAATTAACCAGACCCGAAGTCTACATGTAAGGAGCATGAACTCTGGAGAGAAAACTCAGATCTCTGAGGCCTGTTTCACTGGATGCTTCTGCTCCCCTACTGGCAATAGGAATTAAAGATTCCCCCAAAGGTCTGCTCGAGGACTTCTTCCCAGTTTTCAACTTGGCTTCTTATACTCCCTGATGACCTGGCTGCCATTCCAGCCTCACGCGGCTTCCCCTGCTGCTTTCTGCCTGTGTTTTCAGTAGATGAGCAAGTGAAACATAAGAGAGACAGGCACGCTTTTCCAGGGAAGCCACAGCACATGCTTACAGGAGGATGGAGGTGGCACTTTTGTCTACCTCAACAAGAACAGTAAAGACTATCTGGTTTGGAGTCAGAGCAGCCAGCCCATTACTAATGCTTATTAGACGATGACCGTTAGAGCCTTGGTGGGCTCTTGCCAGCCTCCACCTCCTAGTCACAACCATGATCCTTGCCTCCCTCCCTTCCTATTTTTTGGAAATGCAGACAGTGTGATTTACATTTTGATGTCTGCTGTGAGGAGTGGGAACTCCAATAAACTGCCAGCAGTCCATCTGGTTCACTCATACTCACCTATTCACCACTCGGCTGGCAGAGTGGACACTCCAACTACCATACTGTCCAATGGTCATTTTGGCTGAGGGCATCAGACCTAGAACTTAACTTTTTTTTTGTTGTTGTTTTATTGAAACAGGATCTCATTCTGGCTTAGACTCAGGTTGGTCTCTAAGTCAAGGTAATCCGCCCACCTTAGCCTCCCTGAGTGCTGGGATAACAAGCCTGAGTCATCATGACTAGGCTGGAATTCACTTCTCAAGCCTTAATTCAGGACTAGCTTCTATCTCCCATACAGGGTGAGAGAATGAACAGTGGTGGAGAACAGCCCTGAGCTCTGGTCAGAGGGCATAAATCTGCCGTAATGGTCCCAAAGACAAGCCTCTCGCCTCAGCCTCTTAAGTACTTAATAGGACTACAGGCATCTGCTACCATGTCCAGCGTCCCAACAGTTGTTTTGTTAGAGCAAACTTACAACTTGGTCTCTAGTGAGCCTTCTCTTGGGGTGAGAGCCTCCTTGTCCTCTCTTCTGCTTCCTTCCTCATCTGGCTGTCACCTAGCCTTCCAGGTCCCCCTCCGGACCTCCTCCCACAAGACATGTCCAAAGAACAGTCTTCGCAAGGCCTCTGCTTCGTGGTGAGCCTCGAAGCCCGACAGCCTCTACTC